GGGGACTCTCCCGCCCTCCCGGGGCATTGACCCACGCAGTGCTATCTAGTACACTTTGCTCACTCCACCACGGTTCCCGGCTTTCCTGGGAGCTGCTGTTTGCTTTTCTCTGAATTATGACTCCAGCTTGTGCCTTTGATCTGGGCTTTGTCAGCCACCCGTTGCCAGCCCCTCTCCTGTCTTTGAAGTGCAGTCGCCTTCCCAGCCTCGGACGCTGCTTTTGCAACCTCGGGTGCAACCCCGGCCCCATGGGGCTGAGACATCCAGGGCAAGAGCATCCACAGGGTGTCTGGGGTGCTCAGCATCCCTCCTCCTCCCTGGGACCTTGTGATGGGCCAGTGTGGCTCAGGGCTCGGAGGCTGGGCAAGGAGGCACTGGGAGGTGTGTTTGCCCAGTGGCAAGCAATCCCGGGGATGCTGGCAGAGCGCTGGGACCAGAGCACCACTCCCTCCTGTGGCAGTGGGCAGGGACACAGGAGGTCCTGCACAGAAGCTGGCCAAAAAGCAGGCCCTGATGGCATGTGTGTCCTACAGCTAAGGGGCCTTTCATGCCCGCATGTCCAGAGGGAGGGATGAGACCTGTGGAGAAGGCGCCGCTCTGGACACCAGCCAACCCATCCTGGCACCAGCCCTGCCCTCCCTCCCTGTCCGACAGGGAGCAGCGAGGGCGGTGCCCAGCCTGCCCAAACCCACAGCCAGGCTTTGGACTCTGGCCTTGAGCGGGTCTGAGCGTCCCCATCCGCTCCCCGCTCCCCAGGCCCACAGAGGATCTAACCTTATCTGTTACACTTTGTTCTCCTGCTGTCTGGGTGTGGAGCGGAGCAGAGATTAGTGCACAGACCTTTGCCACACACACACACACGCTGCTGCACCCCCAGCCACGCCTGCACCCAGCGCCATGCTCAGCTACACGTGGCTGCGTGTGACCCGTGCACACACGCATGCTCATGCTCACCCGCACCGTGCCCCACACACCACCTGCTCCAGGGCACGCACGCGTTTCCCCATCCCTGCACGTGTTTGTTTGCCGGCTGAGCGCTGCATTCGGCTCCCAGCAGAGCGTGGCGCTTGCCCCGCCTGCCGGTCTCCCTGCCGCGAGAGCCAGGGTCCCCCATGGCCATCGGCATGGCCCACAGGGCGAGGGTGGCAACCCGCAGCCCTGGCAGGGAGCGCGGGTGGGAGCAGAGGGGCTTCCTTGCGTCAAGAGATGGAGACAAAAATGTGCGTGGGGAGCTGGGAGCTGCTCTGGCAGCCTGGGAGCAAAGCTGGGCATCCCTCGTCTCACCGCCACGTCGCTCTCGTTCGCCGTGGGGCCAGCGGGGACAGCTTGTGCTGCCCGCAGAGACGTCACTGGAGGCAGTGGTGGCAGGCAGAGGTTCCCTGTCCGCACCTCGTGCCGAGGTCCTGCCCCTGCCCGAGGCTC